CCCTCACCTCACATCTCCCAAAAGCATGTAAATTGGCACAGACAATGTCGTGTTCCCTCTGTCTTACCCAATTAATTTTAATTGTTTTAGCTAGGTACAAGAGCTTCAATTGGTGAGTCACTAAGTTCCCTTATATCACAGGCACCTACAACATGGCACTTTCATTCTCTCTTGGGAGATGTGGTTTTGACCTCCAATGAAGGAAATAAAATTTGGGATATAATCTCCTGTGGGGTGTCCCAGAAAGACAAGAGGGGAAAACTGATATAATCGCTCCAGTTAAGTAAGCAGAAAGGTAAAGACTGCTTCATTTCTGGTTTGTGGGTTGGACAGCAGAGGTGGGAATGAAAAAATGCCTGGCATCAGGGCACCACCTGAATCCCTGAGAATCTGAATCCATATTTTAGGAAAAGCAATATAAAGAACAACTGAGAAGTCCAGTACATCCCATCCAGTCCAGCACCTTGTAACCACTGATGATACATAAATGCTGACAGGTTTCATTCCCAGGACTACTGCTCTCAGACGAAAAGTGACAAAATTATGCACAACCAAACACATTTTGTTGCCCCCCAGGATTTCCCCTTTAATTCAGCATCTCTGCCCTGTAACAGTGTTAAAATATATTGGACTCTTTCTTTTCACTCTGTACTCTGTCACACAAACAGCGTCACGCATGCCTTAATGCTTACAGGGCATGATCATGTTATGTTTTGCTCAAGGGCATCTTCACAGAATCACAGAATCATTGGACTTAGAAGGGATCACTGGAGATCATAGAGTCTGACCCCTTGCTAAAGCAGTTCCTTAGAGTGGGTCGCACAGGCAGGGTTCAAGTAGGTATTGAATATCTCCAGAGAAGGAGACTCCACAGCCTCTCTGGGCAGCCTGTTCCAGTGCTCCACCACCAAAGGTCTGATAGATCTTCTCAGATATTAATTCTGACTGAACTTCATAATCAGATGGATAGAATGAAAATAATACCTAATGACTAAAGCGGTGCCAGCTCCTCAACGATCTGGCTGTTCCATGACACACAAAAAAAAGGAGCCCAACATGAATTCCTGCCTGCTCCCCTTGATAAAAAGGGCTGCGAGCATGTTTCAACACACAGCAGAACAATAAAAATGCTAAACTCATCCCAGAAGACTGATACTATTTCTAAGGAGAGCATTTACCCAACAGCAAAATGTGGCACAGCTCTCCTCCTATATTTAATTTAACATTTACAGTCCAAAGAAGGTTGGGGGGAAGTCGGTTTTGTTATTGTTGCTATTGTAACAATCCACACTGTTCAGCAACACCCTCTAAAGGAAAATACAAGTCTAAAATTTCTTCCCATTCTCAAATAGCCCCTAATTAGAGGATAAATTGTATGCAAAGGGTTTTATAGGATGAAAGTTTTATAGAAAGAAGATGGCTACAAAGATGTCAAGAGTCTATCCCCTTAGGATGGCTTACTCAGATTTAAGGGGTCAAAACAACAAATTCATTTTACTGAATATATGGCCAATTGCTCACAGCATCAGAATGAATGCAATTCAAATTGTAATGGATTTCTTCAAAAGCAGACTGCTGCAGTAATTACGTAAGACATTACAGATGGGAAACAAAGCCAATTGTAAATTTCAGATGTTATTTTATGCAAATAAAGTGGCTGTAGTTTTCTGAAGAATTCCACTGTGAGCTGAATTGGCCATTTCTGATGCTATGAATAAATGTATACCAATTTATTTCTAATAACCTATTATTTATGTGCAATTTCTTTTGTCCTCTAAATGCTAGGAAGCTGTTTAGAGCAACCACCTACATGACAACTTACCAATTATCTTTATAAAACCCAATATTGCTTTGGATTAGTTACATGCATAATTAAATGCCAACTAACCATTATGTTCTTATAAAGTTACCAAAAGTCTGCAAAACTCAGCAGTGTAATATTTCATTTGATTCTAAAACAACATTTCTAAAAGAAAGCAATTTTTATATAATCATCCCAGAATGCGATCAAATTAGACTCAGATTTCCCATTAAAAAGATTAGTGACTGCATGTATCAATATTGAAACACACAAATAACAGCCACCATCTTCCAGGCTCTCTCAAAATCAGACCCGTTTGCCACTTTACTTTCCTAGTCTCCCCAGCAGTAAACTCATTGCAACATATGCATACCCAACGTTCACCCTCAGGATACCTTGTTTTGGCTTGAGGCCAGTCACCTGAGTTACCCTAGCTTTCCCCCAGGTCACACTGATCAGCTCTGGTGTCACTCAGAGGATCTGCACTTGGGCTCTGGGCCAGCCAGGAATCAGGGTTCCACTACATGCAGCAAGGGCAGCTCCCCCCCAGTACTGTCCCCAGGCCAAAGACTGTCATAGAATCATAGAACAAATCATAGAATGGCCTGGGTTGAAAAGGACCTCGAAGATCATCTAGTTTCAACCCCCCTGCCATGGGTAGGGTCACCAACCACTAGACCAGGCTGCCCAGAGCCACATCCAGCCTGTCACTGCATCTTATTTATTAGTGCCACATCTCCACCACAGGGCTGCTGTCAATTAATTCTTCTCCCAGTCTATACACATATCTAGGATTTCCCTCACTCAAGTGCAAGGTTGAATCTCATTAGGTTCACGTGGGCCCACTTTTCAAGCCTGTCTAGGCCTCTTTGGATGGCATCCCTTCTTTCTGTTGTATACACTGCAACGTTCAGCTTGGTGTCATCAGCAAACTTGCTGAGGGCGCACACCATCCCACTAAGTCACTGATAAAAATATTGAAGAGCATGATCCCAGGTTGGACTCCTAGGGGACACCACTCATCACCGGCAATAGATGAATGCAGCACGAAAGGCCTGTGATAACATGGAAAAGTGGCAATGGGAAGGCAGAGCTGGTGTGAACCCCCAGAGCTCACAGAAAAAGGCACCAGGTTTTCAGTGAACAAGTCAAGTGAACAAGTCAAAACAGCTCCTTTGCAATGGGCCATAACTACAGCACCTCAGAGTAAATGCCTGAGAGCTGCTTGCCCTTGCAAGATTATACAGGGCTATTTACCCAAACCAAAGCATGCACGTGCTCTCATTGACACCTCAAGGTGAGCAACCGGAAGTTCAGAGCAATCAACCTACGAACCAAACAACCCAGCAAGGCAAGCTGGATCTTCACATGCAGAGAATGAGAAGTAAATACCCAAGAACAAGGTTAATATTATCCAGTACACTGAATGGGAGAGGCAGAGGGAGAGCAGACAGTTTCACATAACTATTGGAAAAGTCTGCAAAACACACCATATCTGCAAAACCACCTTCCTAGAGACAGGCACAGATGGGAAGCTGGAACACACAGCCTGAAAGCACTTCTTGTGCTTTGGCATCCACCTCTCCCTTTAGGCTCCAGAGATGCAAAAAAAGAAAGTGTCACTTCTACAGGGCTGTAACCAGCAGATGTCAAAGGTTATTACCTTATTTGAAGAGGGGGCGGGAAGTGGATGTGTTTCTTTTTAAGTTCCTTTCCTCTCTTTAGGCTCATTCAAAACTTCTCTAGTGTCTCAATAATTTCTATGCCCAGGAAGCAATCCCCAACACTGACCCAGGAGACAGTGGGCTGGCCATACAACATGCAGAGGATGCAACAGCAAAGAACTGTGCTGCCACATGTGGGTTACAGAGGCAAAGAGCAGGATGCAGCCAATTACGGAAAGCAGAATTCATTACTGCTTGTGTCCTTGTCCTCCTCAACACTGAGAGAGATGTGCTGGAAGCCTCTGTATCATAAAACAGAATTTCATCTTCATTTATGTAAATGAATGCAAATTTAATGCAAATTTAATCCGTGGGCAGGTAGGCAAGAGGAACTCAATTGGCCCAAAGGGATCATAGCCTAACTTTGGGGGATTTTTTTGTTTCAATTCATTCCGTATTTATGTTCATTCTTTTGTAATCAGATGCCACATTTGGTTTGATTTCTCTTTTTTTTATTCAAGCTGTACTGTTTCCTACTCAATGAATGCAATTTGCCATATTGATTCCTTTGATATACATTCTTCTTTCGTACATCAGCATTCATCTTCACTTTTGTACTACAAAACAGCAGCAACTGCATCACTGTACCCAAGTTAACACCTTCTCTTTTCTTACTTTTACCCTCAATAGCTTTGACTTAATTCTGAACTTTGAACTTTCCTTCTGAAACAAATTTGAGTTGCTTCCATTATTGCTATTCTGGAGAGTCTGTCATGCTGGCAAATAGCTTTGTATTTACAGCAGTTAATAATGATACCTAGTCTACTACATTACATAGTTGTCTTTTTGTATTAATGCATTTTTCTTCTCTTTCTGTGCCCTTGGGCTTTCAGCACACAATTCATTTATGGACAAAGCACTTGTATGGCCCTATTTTGTAAACTATTCAAAACATTGTCAGTGAAAAATGCAACAAGAGAGAGCCCTAGAGGGCCCATCTTGCATTGCACTGAAACTTTGAAATCATTCAGAAACAAAATACACACCCTGTCTCCTGTGCTTCAGATCCTGTTCAGAATGACAGTAGACAGGGCACAGGGGCCAGACAGGCATAAAAATGCTTGCAAAACAATTATATGCCACAGAGAAATTCACAGTTGATAACTGCTGAAGACTGTTTATTGCCTTGTTTACACCTCCACCCTGAGCATTATTCTCTGCTGTATGGAAGACTGAACAAACCACAGCACTCAAACACATTTGTTTCTCTGCAGAGGTTCTATAACACACACGTGTTAAAGATGGCATTCAAAATGTTTTTTGCTCTGCATGCCTCTGGCTGTGCAGGAATACACCCATCACATGTGTACAGCAGGTAGGAGGCCCAGTCCCACCACCACACCGTGACCACAGACACCAGAGCCTGCCTGACAGGACTAAGTCATAAGGAACTGATTCCCCCACATATTTGCTCCAGTATGGTCTGAGAGCTGAACAATATTTTTCAAATAATAAAGAAGAACAGTTTATCTTACCTTTAAGAGCAGACTATGCAGCATCCACCAGACAGCCCAGGAGAGCTTCCCCAGCCAACAGGTGCACACCACCAGCCCTCAGCTCCAGCTGCCCTGCATGCACACCTGGGCTGCAATTGCAGTCCTCTGTTCCTTCACCCTGCTTTTCCACCTTCCTGAGGAGAAGTGATTTTTTTTCCTTCCACAACTTTCGCTTGGGGGCGGTGACGGCCGCAGGGCTCAGGTCTAAGGTGGCACTGCTGGGCATCTAGGCCTCAACTCCACCTCAGGGCAGTTAAGCACAGGGAAGCCCAATCTCTGTCACTGTCCTTTTTCCTACTCCAGATAACTTCCCATTCTCTTGAACCTGTTTCATGTAGAGGTCTGGATGGCTATTAAATGGCACCTCGGCAGAGGCAGGCTCTACCAAGCAATAGCCCAGCTCAGCAACACTGAGATAAATCTTTCACAGTGACAGTGCATCTGGTGCCAAAGCCACTAGAAAGATAGGTGCTCAGAAGCCTGCAAGTTGCAAGTGAAAACAAACCCTGCAGCTTGCCAGAATAAAACAAAACAACTCTAAACAAAAATAATTCTATGCCAACGAGAAAAAGATAGTGGATTGTGTTGGGGGGAAAAAAAAAGAAAAAAAAGCATACACAGCATAAGTACATGTATAAAGAATAAAAGAAAAAAGTAGTCTGGAAATCTGCAGCAACTATTCCAGTCACTCTCTGTGCCTTGTAAAAAGATACATCCTTCCTTTTTCTTCATAAGAGCTCCTTTTGGGGGGCTGGTTGTTTTCAGTAGGATTTTGTTGTTGTTGCTTTTGTTTCTACTTTTTTGGGCACACGGCTAATGTGGATTATCTTGTATTTTATTTTTTCCTCTGAATATAAATATTTTGCCTATGGATACAGCAGAAATACATAATAATGAATCTATGACTTATTTACCTGCTGGGGGAATGCTAATGAGTGTTGTAGTAATGAAAACAGCTTCATTGGCTTGTAAATGCAAAACAGCAGGGAACTCACTGGAGACACAACATGCATATGCCAATAAGCTTACATTATTCACAAGTACACAAACCTCCCAAGACACTAGTTTCAGAGCCTTCTTTCATTTCCTGCCTGCTTCACATTTTGAGCCAAGTCAAAGAATATTTTTCTATCTTCCTCAAGCTTCTAAAGGTTTTGCAGAAGCCAAATGATCTTACGGAAAACTTTCCATTCAGATGTAAACTGAGTATTTGTAAGACAAAGCACAACACCTACACATTTCTACTGGTTACATTTTCAGGCAGCTGGGAGAAGGCACAAGTTGATACTCAACCCACACCCAGCACCAGCTGACCCTAATTTGGCTGCAAAGCCAGACAGTGCCAAGCACCTGGCATGAGATCAAACACACATCATGGCAGGCCCTTGTCCTGATCTCCTACCATATTTTTATTCTAACATCTTTACAGCTTTGTAAAGAAAGGAGGGAGGGCAGAGAGTCCAGATGGTCACTTCATTGCTCACTCTGCCTTTCAATTTGGACAAAGAAGATCTGGTTTTTACTGATTGTGGCACGGAGAAGAGCCACACGAAAGAGAGAAGAGTGCCAGGGACACACCTTGATGCTTTCATAGGTGGCTGTGCAACAGCACCCTCTCCCCGTGTGACACTGTCAGCAGTGATACCTTCTGCCATCATTCTTACCCAGAACTCCCACACCAAGTCTTGCTCTCTCACCAGCTGGTCTCCAGTCCCGGTACCACATCAAGAACCTCAATTCTAGCTGGCTCCGGCTGACTTAAGTAATAAGGCACAACCTAGACTGTGTCAATACTAACCATCTATACACTATTATACTGGCAATTGCTTCATATTATAAGTATCTGAATGTAAACAACATTTTACCAGAGCACTTCTGCAAGATGCTCAGACATAGCACTGATAGAATATGCTGTCATTCATTACGTTGTTTTCTATTTCTCTCCTTTGCATCAATCCTGACAATATTAACATTCAGAACAACCACTGACCAGTCTCGTTTCAGCACCTTTTGTGGATGTTGCCAAGCTTTGCAGAATGTTAAGCGCAGAACAGAAGGTGATATTCCCCACCAAAGGTGTCAGCCAAAATAGAGATCGGTGTTAGGGCTTTTCCTAAAGAGACAACATTAGAATACAAGTCCAGGCATTTGCTATTATGAGATTGGTATGATTGTGTTTCACATCCCCCTTCATTATAAATCCATTTGGCACCCATTCTAATAACCAGCATACCCTCAGAAAAGAATTATTTGATGTTCCTCTGAATGTCATATGTACCTTGTACTTTTAGAGCACTTGTATTGTAATTCAACATTAATTATCTTTCCAATTAATATACTGCATAATGCTGCAATCTAAAATGTGTGCATTTTGTAAATGAGAAAATTGAGCTCAGTTCTGTCTGCTTTGATTCCATTGTACCTTTATTACAATTCAGTACCAGAATTCTTTTCCATTGGGTTATTGACACCCTGAACACACACAAGGGAGCATTAGAAAGATACATTTATGCTTCTCTTTTCCAACAAGACCTCCAACTTCTCTTTTTCAAGATCATTTTAATATACTTTCCTGCTTTATGTTTGTTATTGAGCAGCTCATAAGGGAAATGGAGATGACAAAAGTACTAATAGAGCAGCATTTACCAGTTACCATAATATAGATACTATAAATACTTACAACTGCTAGAAAATTAAAGTGTGAAACAAGTCACAAAAAAAATAAAATAATAATAATAATAAAATCAAAGCCTGTAGTCAGAGAGTGAAAATTTTCTTCATTAAAAGGCAAATGATCCAACATATTCTTTAATGTGTTAAAAATATCACTTAAAGTTTTTACTACAAGTTCCATAATAACAAGTATAAATGGGAACACGTATATATAATACAAAATATAAATGGAAAATGTAGAACCAAAACTGTTGTCTGTGTGTATGGCTGAAAGAATAGAATATATGACCGGTGATTTTCCTCAATGAGGAGTTTAATTTTTCTGTTGGGTTTGATTTTTTTTGTTTAGCTGATGTCAAAAGCCATAAACACTGTGGGCTATTGGGTTTGACCTTCAATGCCACCATTTGAAAACATTTCACAGTGCTTTTCAATTCTGAATGTGTTTGAGGAAGGTAAAAATTCTCTTTCTTTAGTGACATGACATTTAGATTTCATATGTGCTTTCATTTTTAACAGAACAGAAACTAAAACACACAGAAAGCTGCAAACAAATCAGCTGCCCCTCACACTCAACAGTTTTATATTCAACATGCTTTAATGCTCATTCTTAGCTGGTAATCACTGAGTATGTGCGTACGTGCCGAGAAGAGTCTGCAGATTATTGATGTAAGAATGTCATCCATAAAATATTACTTCATGTGGCTAAGCAACCTCAGCTTAAATAACCTTGCTGATCTAAAGGTGTAAAAACATAAAAGTAGTCTATTTAGCATCTTGATACAGAATTTTCTCTTTAACTGTCCTGGAATATTTCAGTAAAATCCTAAATGGAAAAAGATGGCAGTTTAAGCAGATAGACTGGCTATTATTGGTCAAGCAATTCATGCAACCTACTTTACTAGAGATTGGTATTCCTTTTTCAACATCATCCTCAATCAGTCTTTTGAATTTCCTTTGTATATATTTCTTAGCAATGACACTGACCTACTGTTCCAGTAGGGCCTATTACAGCTGAAGCAAATACATAAGGAACACAGCTGTATTTTCCACTTATATGGATCTTGGAATTAGTTTGAAAAGCTTCATCAACTTCACTTCTTTGGTATTAACACAATTCATTCTAATTTGGTTTGGTTTTGTGTGTGTACTTTGCTCTTCAATCCTCATTCCAACCTCCATGAGCAACTTCTGCCCAGGACAATTCCTTCAATTACTCAGAATTAGAACTTCCACTAACATTCATTGTTTTTCATTCCAAAGCAATGAAAAATATTCATGCCAAAAGAGGTGGAAACTTTCTATCTTACAGAGAAAGTGATAACAACAAAAAAAACCCTTCTGAAATTTCATTTTAAACCAAAATATTACACATTTCCAAATCTGAAAATCAAGAAGACACCTAATGATTGGCTTAAAAAATCTCATGGAAGGCCACTTCCAACCTACCAAACACATTTCCAGTGATTTCCGCAGGTTCAACTACTACATATAAATTATAAAACAGGTATTGTTCTAATTTCTCTTTGATTACATGAAAGTGAACAAAAAGCAGCCTAGATATTAGACTTCTCCATAGCAGAAGCTCAGGCCTTGCAGTACACATCATATTTTAGCTTTGCTCCCAGCTTGGTTCCTTCTAAGCATACTTTGAATTTGGCATCCATTTCCTGATTCTGAGCTTCAGTGAAAAGATTTTTCCAGTCCCCAACAACACCTGGAATATAAAGAAAAGTAAAACAATAGCCCTGACTGTAAGGACAAGGGAGTATGGTTTGAAACAAAGTCATGCCTCGTGTCGTATTTCAGGATAATTCATTTTTTAAAAAAGAATACACTCTGCTGCTTTACTTTCAGTGTCCTTAAGAGAATGTGAACAGAAGTGGGACATGGGAAGCTACTGGTCTGCCTTGTGCCTTACACAGTTGCAGAAGTCTGTAAAAGATGATCAGCAGCTATGAAAAGAACTCAAAAAGTTCAAAGATGTGGCTTTTAACTGCAAGAGAGTAGTGTGCCACAATCAGACACTACTCTGAGCTGCAATCTACTTTTGATCAAGATTTTGGAGAGTTCACTGCCAGAGGTATTCTGGGTCTACAGCTCTAGCGTGATCCATGGCTAAAAGGCATGGCTCAACCTGTAGAGTATCTGGATTCAACAAACTGAGTGAGGTTCCTACGCAACCACAAAGGTTATTTAGGAAATCCAAGAAGAAAAATCTTTGCAGATCAAGTGCCAGGGTACCCCCAGTAGTCACAGAAACCAAAATAAAACTCTTTGCTTTAATTGGTGCTTGCTGCAAACCGTGACCGAAGAGTGTTATACCTGGAAGGCACTTCTGCTAACCACATTATGCAGGGCTTTACTGAATGATACTGGCACTTACAATGGAATCAGTTGATAGCATTTGGAAGCACCAGCAGTGTTTCTTAAGTTCCAACCCCGAAAATTATACATAAAAATTAATCACTTACTCATCCAAATCCATTTGTCCAAGATACAGCACTACCATTCACAAACCTTGCAAAATATGCTTCTTGTTTGCTGTAAACAAATTTACCTTTGCGGAAAAGAACTGTGCCAACAGCACCATGAGTCTCCTGAGCCTTGTTCTTCACTGCCTGGAAAGTAGCCCTGTCTGCAATGGACTGGATCTGCTCTGCTGTTGGGGAGAATCCAAAGAATTCTGCTATTTGCTTTACACCAGAAGCCAGATTCTGAAAATAATGCAGTGAGAGGGGGTCATATTATATGCTTCTTCTAAAAAAAGGACCTACCCACTCAGGACACATATGGCCATTACCTACTAACACCATCTTCCTTCACAGTACATTTTGTATGTTACACTGGAGCTCGGTTTTCATATAGCCAGACTCAACTTGTTCCTAAATGGATATTTGATTTTGCTTTCAGAAACCTGTGCTATTTTCTTCTAATTTCAGCAGTTTTCAGGAAATGGGCTCAGATGTGTCTTGACTGTAAGCACACAGTGGCTGCTTTACCTCTTTCAGGTCTTCATATATTACAATCATAGTGTTCTCATCGTCAATGTGTTTGTTCCAGGTGACTGCATGGTCAAAATAAGATCCCCAGCCAACTGTGAAGAGAAAAAAGCATCAGTGTGAACCCTTTTTACTATTGTGTACTTATTTCTCTCTGACTGAAGGATTGCTCTCTGTGGCTCACCAGTTACGTCCATGAAGAAAAACAGAACAGTCTGTCCTTTAGGTGGTACCATACTGTATATCAGAACAATAGAGACTTCCATTGGGCTTTTGTAGATAGGTGGCTTCCACAGAGAAACATGTACTTCCCATGTGTACTTCCCCTCCATTTCTGTATTGGCATTAAAGATATCTCATAAAAGCTAAAGCTAGACATCATTCTAAATCTAAAATCTAAGTTCCTTACAGGGTTTTTGGCCTTGTGTATGGGAACACAACAAACAGTCATTCCATTATCACCATTTCAGCTTTGTAGCATTGCCTCCATTACTAACTGACAGGATTTTATCCCAGTGCCATTATCAAGCTGCCAGGCAACTCCCCTTGCTTGGAAGAGCAAAATATTCAGAAGCAAAGTATCTTTTGTGCTTTCTCCCCATTTTTGCATTCAGCTATCTCCTTTATCATGAGGTATGGCCACCAGTGAACTAATTATGACACAGCTGTTTTCCCACTAGTCCCATTTAGTTGTTTTCAAATATTTTCTTCTGTTGTTTCTTCAGCTACATTCAGTAACTATAACCATACCTTTCCCATTCATGAACTCTGAGAAGAACTCATCCCAGGAGCTGTAACTGGGGACACTTGGCACATTCTTGTGGAAATGGAAAAATGAAACAGCTGTATCTTTAGGGTTTCGAAACAACACTAGTATCTGGAGTGGGAGAAAGAGATCAACAACTTTAGATCACTTATTTCCCCTGGCAACCAAAATGACAGTAAAACCAAACATTCTGCAATCAATAACTTACCACAAAATATTTTCATTATTAGGTAAGGCACAGAGAATAAATTTATAACATGTCATAATAAAGGCCTTGTTACCACTCCTAAGATTTGCCTATAGCCCTGAAGTGTATTTGAAATCCTAAGAAACTGCAATCCTTGGAGAGAGTAAACACTTCTGTGAACAAGCTATACACAAAACAGGAAAAAATACTCCTGGAACATGGTTAAAACCCCAATTCCTTAACTAGTTCCTCCTTTCATCTCTGGTACATTTCCTAACTGCTATGTACCTAACTGCTATGTACCTTTCATTGTTCAGTGACTTGGAACCAGAAATATTGAAAATTTAACAATGTGACTCTGCATGGAAACAGTCAGGGTCTCAAGAGATACTGCTGTCACATTAATTCTTACCACGGCTATATGTAGACAAGAGTAGCATAGAAGAGAAAAGCATGACATCTCAACCATTTTTTGAGCACTGTGACAGCCTCTAGATCTGTTCTTTGTTTATGTACCACTAATGCTTTTGTGCTAAGGTAGTCCAGAGGTCATAGAATCATAGAATGGCCTGGGTTGAAAAGGACCACAGCGATCATCTAGTTTCAATCCCCCTGCCATGTGCAGGGTCGCCAACCACCAGACCAGGCTGCCCAGAGCCACATCCAGCCTGGCCTTGAATGCCTCCAGGGATGGGGCATCCACAACTTCCTTGGACAATCTGTTCCAATTCCTCCAAATTCCTTTCCCTCAATAACACTTGCTAGGGTACAAAATAATATTCATGCATGTTAGTGCTGCCAGTGAAATTAGGTTTGTTGTTAGGAAGGGAAGGATTAAAAAAAAAAAAAAAAAAAAAAAAGCCCACCTTGGCTTTGTTCTTGAAAATAGACTTGGGGAGGAAATCATAATTCAGATGTGTTGCCAAAATCCTTGGAGATGGAATCTGCTTCATCCTCTTTAGAAATAAACAGAACAATAAGTGAGAACAGGTTTATTACATGGGTGCAGCAACAATCTGCCAGCATGAGTCGCCTGCGTGAAGCAGCTCCTAATAAAGAGGCATTACTCATCCAAATTTATCCTTTTTACCCTCTCAGGAGAAATATCTTTACTTGCTACATGACTTCATTTTAATAACTTGTGTGCGGGGGTGCAGGAGAGAAAACTACAGACTTGAAGCAGGTTCTTTTCACTAACCTGATATTTATCTGGATCTCCACATTCAATAAATGGTAGCTCTGTGCTTACAGGTTTACTCTGAATAGTTGTAAATATCAAATCATTTAAAATCTGGATAAGCCAATTCACACCTAGATAAAGAAACCCAGAGAACAAAACAAAACATATGAGAGGTTTATGTAAGATCTCAGAGCCTTCTCATTACATGGCTTAATTCAGCATGACAGACAATAATAGTCATCAAATTACAGATTCAAATCAAATTAAAGCTCTCAAATGACTATAAACAAATTAATGTTTTCTGTTAACAAGATCCTCAACAGCTTCTTAACTGTGACCTTCTTGACTCACTTACAAATGATATGTGGAAAGTATTAGGAGTAGAATTGACACAACAATACGTTTAATATATTTTTAATATAGTCATAAAACAGTCAGTGACAGACAATAAAAGTAGCTTTCCTGTCATTTACAGAGAAACACTTGGGAAGTGTCCGGGTAGAAGTAGGAAGGAACGAACAAGGAGTTTCATTCATTTGTCAGAATTTTCTGCCCCTCTCCCTTCACTGAGTCGAGGATGAAACAGAGCCATCCATTCAGCATTACCAGCAGTGCTTGTCCCAAGCTGTGCCTGTTGCTTTCTCCACAAAGTGACTGCCAGAAGAAGGGCTAGAGGAGCTGCAACCCACCAGACACCTGCATCTTTCCCATTGGAAATGACCTTGCAGTGAAGCCCTGCCATGCATGACGGGCTGGGTGCCAGGCCTGCTGGAGCAGCACACTTTCACTCCATGCTCCATGCCTATCTGCAGCTGCTTTGTGTTGCCCTCAGGTTTCCCAGATCTTTATGGATGCCCCAATGACAGCTGGTGGGACACACTGAGGGAATGGTGTGTTCACCACAGACCACAGCATCCTCCAAGGGCCTTGTGGAGATGCACTTGGAGGGTTTCCCACTGAGGTTGTGGAGATGTGGCTGCAGAGCTGCCTCAGTCTCCTGTGTGCCACCAGTCCCCATGAACACAGCTTACAGAGGCACTAGCAGAGAACACAGGATGCAAACAGCTTTAACCTCACACTTTCAGCAGAAAGTTCTTCTCAGAAAGCAGGTCTTCCACCCTCTGTTACATGAAGTGGCTCAGGATTGTGTCATACTTATACAATAATGTGTATGCAATTTGTACACATCATACAGCGCTTTGTAATACATCTACATATATAGAAATCTTAAGGTATTTGGCATTGTATAAATAAAAGACATTTAATTATGTATATGATTTATCCCAATCTCCTATTTACACAAAAAAAACAGAGCTGAAATCATTAAGAGTCACTAAACCCATGTCTTTAGCTGCCCAGAATAAGCTGAATGTGCACAAAAGCTGATTTTATTTTAATAAAAATCTACAACTGATAAACCTAAAATGCCTGGCCTCTAAATTCCCTCTTGGCTTCTCAACCATCCTCAGCCCCACCTCAAATACGTCTCTGCATCAGTTTGAGTTTTCCTCCCCACTGCACATACGAGAGCTGGGGGAAATACTACATATAGCAAGACTTTATTGTAATTTATCCTTCATAATCCTCAGTAAGTAAAAGGAATGAGGACAATATTAAATTTTTGAAGGGCCATCAAACATATTCATAATCATCTAAAAATTACATATGACCATAGAGTTTGACCCCCTGGCATGGAAAATATCTGTGAAGCTGGCAGAGGAAGCCAGCCATCAGACCTCAGATGCAGGCAGTATTACAACTCCACATTTGCCAAACTCTATGAGAAATCAAAGCCAGTGCCAAACTCTGCCATAGCCTATCTTTATAAGGTCCAGCCAAACCCTGGACACAAAGCCAACAAAATTAAAGTCAAAAACAAAGACGCGTATTTCACTTGTTTTGTCACCTCCCTCCTTGTGTACTTTTGTGTGACCTCTCCTTCTCTTGGCTCAATGTTCTGTCTCACAGCTAGCATACATTTCCTATAAACACTACAGGCTTACTTCTTCAGTGCCTAAACGCACTACAGTTTATTTTCAGAACTGACCAAAACAAAACCACAGGAACTGACCATGCTCTTCACTTTGCTGCATGAGATCTTGGCTAAGAGTTTTCTTATTAGAGCTCAATGTGAGCATAGCAGCTGTGTTAGTGCACTGAATTCCTCCTCTGAACCACGCTTTTTCAGCAGCCTTTAGCTTCTGCTGCTTGGGTCTCAAAGAAGAAACATATGCTCAGAAAGCGTTTCCTTCATTATCAAAACCTGGCCCTTCCTTGTAAGCAAACATGTCACACAAGACATAACACTGATCAAAATCAGCTAGCTGGTAGGTTGGTAAGTTGGTTGTAGAGTGTTTTTTTTACCCTCACCACTTCTATTGCACCTTTCTTCCTTTCTGATGACCCCTGACTACAAGATTTTTAATTCCAGTATGCTATAATATAATAATATATTACAATATATACGTAATAATATATATAACATTATAATATATATATAATGATGCAATTACAAAACAAAGTACAATAATGATACTAAATACAATGCCAAGAAAATCATTATTATCTTGCAAGTAAAGATGCTGCACACTGTCACATTCTACTCCTTAGAGTCTAATGCGTAACTTCATTGCTTCTGCATATTACACTACATTATATTACTAATATTCTTTTCAGAATGCAGTTTATCACACTTGCAGAGGTATCTTGTTCCACTGATAAATAAAACTATAGTCTTTACTCTCACTTCTTCAGCCAAAAATAGTGATTGCTAAAACATTTTATCCTTTCAGAAGCATAAATCATGCTAAAAACTAGTGGAACCGATCACATAATTAAGATAAAGCAGGGAAAAAACCTGCTGCCTCTGCTTGTAACAGAAATGCCCATTATCCTCACACAACATAAAACCATAATTAATTTGTTATTTTCCTTCTTATTGTGTCAGTTAATTAGTTAATGTACCATAGACAACAGCAAGTAATTTATAATGTATTCACCGCATTTGGGGTAAGACACCAGCACCATATCATCTCTTCTGGCTTCCAGGTTCTCCAGGGCTTGGAATGTCTCTGCGCTGCACACTGTGACTGGATAAGGAGTCCCCCGGTAGGAGAACAGCAGATCCTTCAGGGTAAACCCTTCAGACTTTGCCAGTGCTTTATTTATTTCATCTACAAAGGCTTTATTCTCCTCAGCCATGGTTACCAACTTTTGCTGGGACATGAAACTGCTCATCTAATACCATTAAGTGCCTTTAAATATACATTTTTAAGGGGTGGACCAAAAATTGTTGGTGGTATTTCCGCCTCTCCCCCTCCCCCCACCTCAAAAAAAGAAAAAAAAAAACGCAAACAAACAAACCTAAGAATTTGATACATTTCTTTCTCTCCTCCCTTCTCACCTTTCTGAAAATGAAAACGGGGTTGATGTTGCCCATCCATAATCTGCAGAGGAGAAATTACTTTAGGAACAAATCCCATTGAGAGCAAGTAGAGCAAGTAATACTAGTGAGCTCAGCCACCAGAGAATACTGAATTGGGAAAGAATTGCTCTGGGAAAGAAAAAGCAACAAGATATTAAATCTAATCTTACATAACATTAATAGGAAAAAAGCCTCAGAAAAAAAAGTCCCTAATAAAAATCTAAAAATTTAAAAAAGAGAGAGAGATTGGCAATAAACTCAACCTCATACCATGAGTTAAGAGAAATAGATAACAAGTAACAGAAAACAATGAAATCAAAACCACAGAGCAGAAAGAAAATACAGAGAAGGAAGCAGAGCTACCATTTTGGTTTCAAAATATCACTGCAGGAGCTACCCACTGCCTTTAAACATATTTTTTATATTAAAAAAGACAATTAAACACTGAGTTATGGCGTAGTGCAGGCTTTTCCAACAGACTCAAGACCAGACAAAGATTCCTTTTTAATGACTGGCAGCCTTACATATCTACCCATGGCTTTCCCTGCTGGGACATGCAGAGGGGCCCAGGGCTGGTTCAGGAGGGGCAGAGGAGCTCCTCCACTGGGCTAAGCAGCACAAAGCTGTACTGAAAAAAATTAATTTCCTTTTGTAGCATTGCCCATATAGTTGACCAATGGAAGCCATTTGGTATAATCTTTTTTCAATTTCAGCAAAATACTGTTTCTCACAGCACCCTTGTGGACAAAATGGGGAGCACACACCTGAACTAAAGTGTAACGTGATGGATGAACAACTGGCTGACAGGCTGGCTCAAAGGATTATAATAATCAGGATACATTGGGCTGACAGACAGACACTGGTGGGGTTCCTCAGGGCTTCTTTTTAGGGGCAGTTCTCTTCAATGAGTTGGATATAGGACTTGAAGGTATACTAAGGAAGTTTGAAGATGACACCAAACTGGGACAGAGAGGCCTTGTAAAGAGGTCTTGACAAATTAGAGGAATGGGCAAACACCAATCAGAGGAACTTTAACAAGAGCAAGAGCAGAGTTCTACACCTTGGATGGGACACCTTGGATCTATGGACAAGTTAGGCGATGAGAATTTGGAGAACAGAAGGGGATGGGGGGGGTTCTGGTTGGTGACAAGCTGAATACGAGTTAGCAGTGTGCTCTGCCAAACCCCTAAGGGCCAAGTGCACCCTGCAGTGCACCAGCCCAGCACTGCCACCAGGCAAGGAAAGGGGATGTCTTGTCCTGCTCTGCACCCTGAGGCCTCACCTCCAACACTGAGTGCTGTTTTAGGTGCAAGACGGACATAAACCTATAAAGTGTCCAAAAGGAATGCTACACAGTGAAGGGTCTGCAGATGTGTGAGGTGTGGCTGAGGCCCCTGTGTGTGCTCAGTGCAGTGCAGAGGAGCTGAGGGGAGGCCTGATGGCAGCTGCAGCTCCTCACAGGGAGCGGAGGGGCAGCGCTGAGCTCTGTTCTGTGTGACAGCGACACGGCCTGAGGGAACGGCATGGAGCTGCGTCAGCGGAGGGCAGCTGAGGGCTGGGACAGGGTCTGCACCGGAGGGCGGCGGGCACGGAACGGGCTGCCCAGGGCTGCGGGCACGGCCCAGAGCTGCCAGAATACAGGGAGTGTTTGGACAACGCTCTCAGACGCAGGGTTTAGATTTGTGCAGTGCTGTGTTAAGCCAGGGATTGGACTCCACGATCCTCCTGGGTCCCTTCTGACTGAGGACGTTCAAACACACCGCACGCACACCGACCACCGCCCACACACCCACCACGCGTCCAGCCGCAGGCGGCAGGAGGCGCCGCGCAGGCACCGCAGCCCCAACGGGCGGGGCGGGCTGACTGCGCGTGCGCAGCCGGTACAGGCGCTACCGGAAGCGCGGCCCGGGGGCTGCGGAGGCCATGAGGAGGCGGCTGGTGGCGGGGCTGGTGGCGCTGGAGGTGGCCGGGCTGGGCGGCGCCCTCCTGCTTTACCGCGCCATGGACCGCAGCCGAGGTGCGGCGGGACGGCCGGGCGGGGTGCCACAGGAGCCGGGGATTGCGCTGCAGCACCGCCGCGTTTAGTCTGCACGCGTTCGGGTTTTTGGCGGCAAAGATCAGCGCAGGTTACCTGATGCTGGAACGGGGTCTTGTGCCTTTTCGTAATGAAGGGGAAGCAGCCGTCAGATGAGGCAGGATTCGATGAATCCCGTTTCAGGCATCTGCTCTGCAGCCCCTGGAGGGGATCCTCAGGTTCACTGCTTGGTCTCACAGGCGTTGTGATTTGACGTTTTCCAGATGAGAGCAAACCCAGCTGGCAAGTGCAGGGGGCAGCCAGGGTCAGCTTCCAATGACGTAATGTCAGTCCCTGAAGCCTCTCATGCTTCTGATTCACTGCTTAGGGAACACACAAGTAAGCCAGGCACCAGCTTAGTTATACAAAGAGGCTCCATCTGTGCCGCAGCCGCCTTGTTTTGCATTTGGGGCCCTTCAAAACTCAGCAGTGGTATGACAGGCCTGCACCCCTGCAGAAGATGGCAGCCAGCCCTGCCACCCCAGGGTCAGCACGATCCCAAGGGCACCTGCTGCTGGGGCTGTGAGGCACCAGCTCCCCCCTTTCAGCAGGAGAGTGATTTTAGACCGAGTTCCAATGGAACCCACCTACCCCTTTCTTTACTGTATCCTTGTTCTGACACGCCCTTGTAGAATTTCTTCAGTAGTAGTTCTGCATGGTGTGGTGAGCTCAGGCAATGGCTTGCTGCACTCAGAGTAAGGCTTTTGTCACTTTGCACGAACAGTAGCACTTAGAAGTTCAACAGACTGCTGCAAATCATTACAACGGCATTAAAATGTCATTTCATGATTCTCTGCTGGTTCAGTCAAGCTGCCTAAAGGATTCAGCGAATGCCAAGGCCATGTCAGAAATCAGTTTCCTAATAAGTCTTCTGTGTTCTTTGCAAGTCAGTCTTCTGTGCTTCATTCAGCTCTGTTTGAGTGTGCAGCTTGTCTGCAGTTACCACTAGTGTGAGGAAGCTCAGAAAACACTCATCTGATAGAGCAGTACACAGGAGGAGCCTCAATATGTTTCTGATACAGTTTAAAAAAATGTGGATCGCAGTACTCAAGAACACCTGTAACAAAGAGCTAGGACAAACTTATGTAAAAGTAATAAGAAAAATAGTGTATTTAATTATTTCTCTTAAAATACCATAAGTAACTATGGCTTATCTTTCTTGTCAGACTTCAGATACACAATGCAGAAGAGGTTTCCATCAATTCTAGAAGGTAGGTTTGTGTTTCCTGGCTTTGGAAAGATGGCTGAAGCTTCTCTTGCATCTTACATATAAAACAGATTGTATTATTGCTTAAAACTACATCAGGAGAAATTGCAAAGTGTTTGCTGTTACATGTAGGCGTGTCTGGAGTGATGAATGGAGATCTCAGAACTGCAGGGCTCTATGTCCAAACAAACTAGCCATAAAATCACTAAGTTACAGCTAACAGATTTTCCTGTTTTTCAGTTTATTACAAATCCAATGAGTGGTCTGGAATTCACGGCATAAGGGAGAACGACCAAATGGCATGGTTAAGCAGCAAGAATTAAAGTAAGATAGGCTGATAAAGAGAATAATTATTTTGCAGTAGTTATTGTAAAAAATGCCTACATTATGATGCCCAGCTCATCTTTTTGATTTCTTGCCTCTGTACTTCTTTTTCAGCCCTGTGTGCCTGAACTGTTTTTTCCTTTTGATGATGCTTTTCACATCCCTATTGTGAAGCCACCTGTCACGCTCTACTTCCCACTTGATCTGTTTGATATCTGGAAAGAGGAGAGATGGAAGATAAGAAGTCAGGAGCTGATGGATACTTCTGAACATCATGTGGAATACAGATAAATCATGTAGAAATTAAAACTTGACTGATTTATTTATAAACATTAATAAAATGCAAACTGCTGATTTTTTTGACACCAGAGAACTTTTTTCTCCGCAATACACACCCTACTATCTCAGAATCTTGGGGTTTAAGACTGCTCTTGACATTGATTTTTTTTTTTTTTTTAAATGCTACATGCTCTTCTGTACAAGTATGCACCACATTACTATTTTTTTCAGGTGACATCAGAAAGACTTGTAAAGGTTCTACAAAAGACTGACAACTCAAAGAAATACACATTTAATTCATCTGTATTATCTCTGAGAAATTACTTTTGCTTCATCAATATCACAAAGAAATATTTCCAGTAGGTAGATAAAGATAGCCATGCTATCTTCCCTTCACAGGGATCCATAATACTCTGGGATCAGAGCAAAATTCATATGAAAGCCTGACAGATGGCACACTGTCAGTTTTTATTTACAGTGTGAAAGGAGAACAAAAAAGCCCCCTCTTTTCTGAAGCCTTATTAAGTCCAGTTGTCACAGTTAATATTAGCATTGTGCATCTTTCAACTGAAAAATACTACATCATCTCATAATTACATTGAGCTACTTTCCCTCCTGTGCTCTCGCTAACCTTATGTGTACCGCGCTTAAAGTATATCACAAAATTTTAAGTACAGAATCTAAAGAGAAAGAAGCAGAAGAGCAGTACAACTACCTGCTCTCCATAGCATGTACTTACTTGCATTATCTCTGTTAGCCATGGCATTCATTCCAATATTGTCAAACTTGGACCCTGCATTTTCATCCAGCAGGTAGCCAATCTTTAAAAAAAAAAAAAAAAAGAATTTTTCTTATTTTACTACAAAGAAGCATGTAAAATGCTTGAACTTTTTTTTTTAATTTTCCTGAGCACTGATCTAGCTTACCTCTTCAGCAGCTGCCAGTATTTTGGCATCTTTGAGTTTTCTCTTCTTTCCTTGGCTGGATCCTTCAAACAAGAAATATGAATTTGAATTTCTGTCTCATAAGAATCACAATAACACTAAAATAGAGGTGTTTTAAACAGTTTTTTTGTTTTTTTGTTTTTGTTTGTTTTTTAAAATTTAATAAGACAACCTAAAATAACTCTGTTAGAAAACTTTATTCACCACCTCCCCTAAAAAGAGGGGGGAAGAAAGTTTTCCAACAGGAACTAAATAGCATAAATCTACATAATATGTATTAGTAGCAAATACAGACCCACAAGCTACTCTGCCAGTACAACTCCATCCTTCAAATACACCTCCTTTGATCCCCAGCCCTTCAAAAGCAGAATGCTATTCTGAATTA